AAATTCCCCTGCCAATCCTCGCTTTAAACATCCGTGCAACTCTGCAATGTGAGGACCACAAGGTGGGCAGCTGGCAGCAGTACTCCTCCAACCTGTCAGTCTGAACCCTGAGGGAGCACCCCACCCTCCCGTAACCTCCTAAGCAAATTCGCTGTATGTACCTTCCACCTCAAACATCCAGACAGAACGTCTTCCGGACCAGACAACCAGCTCGTTTTCCCTGCGGGCACAGGAGAGGGGTGAGCAGAACGCATAGCTGGATGGCATCCGGTAGAAGTCGCAGGACATGACTGACCTCAAACTGCTATTTTTGGGTGGTTCTTATCCTGGTCTCCCCCAGACTGTCCTGTGCCACCTACAAAGCAGCCAACAGTAACAGGCACAAACCAGGGTGTTCTGGTAAAATTGAGAGACTAACTCAGGGGCTCATTCTGTGGCTCCTCACAAATCCTTGCACCAGACGACCAACTCCGTCCTCCAGGTGAGGAAAAGAGGGGGCTGGAGAGATGGCTCAGTGGTTAAGAACACTCTTCCAGAGAGGACCCAGGTTCAATCCCCAGAACCCACATGGCAGTTGTGTCTGTAACTCTAGTTCCAGGGGACCTGACACCCATGGCAAAACACCACCGCACATAAAAAAACAAAAACAAAAAACCCTCTCAGATGAGGAAACAGACACAGGCTATTTGAGTCATGCAGTGGCCTACTGACAGACCTGGGGCTCAGAGCACCCCATTCACCCTGTGTATGGCCATAGTTCACTGCCACCTGGGAGCCTGGACTGGCAGTTTGAGCTGCAAACAGTAATGGGCCCCTAATAGGGCTGCAAGGGCTCTTCCACCTGAAGCTTCCCCCGCCCAGTCCCTCGTCCTGAGGCCTCCTCCGCAGGCCTCTCCCAACTTATCCTACTCGCTTCCTTCAGTGAAGTGTCCCCTCCATCAAGAGCTCAAGGAGCTTCTGAACACAGTCATATCTCAGCACGTCTCTCAACTGTAGGGGAGGTCCTATGCCCACTGAGAATTTCATTCCCAACTATAAACAAAAGGGTTCTCCTGGCAATAAGAGTCTAGAATGGACAGCAAAATGGCTCAGCAACTAAAAGTACTTCTCGTGAAGTCCAATGACATGACTTCACGGAAGCCACATAAAGGCAGACAGAGAGAACACACTAAAAAGTTTTTCCCAGACCTCCACGTGTGTTTCAACATGACACACTTGTGGCCCCATACACACCACACACGCTGATACTAGAACCTTTATTTGAAAACATGGTGGAATGCAAGATCTTTGGTCTGGACAGAGTTAGAGCCCACGGTTTCAGCAACACAGCCCAGGAAGGATTGCAGGGATGCTAAGTTGGGTAATGAAGACTCAGTGGCCCCCTGCCCCCAACCAGTGCCTGCTGGGGAGTCTATGGAACTAGGATCCCTCTGCTGCCACTGACTTGGGGCTGCCTGATCTCTCAGAGGGCTCAGAAACGTAGGCTGGGTCTACCCCTTCTGCCATGATTCGGTCATAGCTACACCGAGCCCGGCAGTGTCCCAGCACCTGGCCATGGAGTGACTCACACAGGGTTCCCAACATCAGAGCTACCAAGCCATCCCTTCTACTCCTTCTGAGTTCCCTTCACTCAGCAGCCCACCTGGAATCCCCTGCAATACCCCACAACCCAGTTCCCCAATGTCACTTTGGTGTAGGCAAGTCTGCATAAGAGACTTCCAGGAAGCATGCCCCTGCCTCTTGGACTATGAAGGGTCAAGAGCAAAGGCCTCTCATAATCCAGAGACAAGGCCAAGCTGGTAATCAGCAGGCACGTACAGATAGGTTGCCTAGCAGCATGGCCTTGTGTCCCAGCCCACACCTGTCCTGGCTGGAAGCTCCAAGCTGCCCCAGCAGTACTGTGCTGGCATTTGGTCAAGGCTGTTCTGAGCAGGAGCTCATGTCCACTGAGTGTTCCCAGTGATGTGCAGAGGCAGGGCCACTCCAGGACACATGGGACCTGAGTCCCAGGCAAGCAGTAACCTCTATGGTCCTCAGCGCCTCCATCTCACATTGGCCAGTCTCTACAGCAGCTCAAACTGTGCGGACACTGCAAACGGTCCCCTTCCCTCTGGCCCTTCTGCGCTGGCATTCCACTGTCCCTCCTCCTGTGCTAAGACACCCTTGTGCTGGCAGACTGGACAATGTCAACAGGGAAAGATGAGGCCTGATGTGATGGGCACATGGTTCTGCAGAGTCCCATGTTGGACATGACCAGACCAGTAGCATGAAAGGGAAGCCAGCTGGGAAGAGGCAAGGGAACTCCAGCCAGGAGATCTATGCAGTTAGCCCCTGCCTCTGCTGCCTGTGGAGTCAGGCCCCAGAAGGAGCTCCCTGTGTAGTTTACGCTGCCCACTGGTAGTGCTGCTGGGCTGCAGAGTGGCAGAAGTTTTAGATTCAGCTAGCCTGGGGTTCAAATCCCAGACTCAACCTCTTCCTAAATGTGGGCCTCGAGAAGTTGGCTTGTTTATCTTTTCTGTCCCTCAGATACCCCATCCAAGAAGTGAGATTATATGGGATACCTCCCTGCAATTTACTGGTCAGGGAGGCCCCAGAGGTCACCAAAACTAGATGGTAAGATTTGACTGCATAAGACACACTTTGGTTGTATGACCCAGAAACCAAACTGAACGACCCCAAAGCTTCCTCCTTGTTGACTAGTTTTCAGTGCTGGGAGGAGCCATGCAGGCCACTGAGGGGAGAAAACACATGAGTGGTGTTGTCCAGCCCTCAACCCTGCATGCCACAATACTGATCTACCATACACAATGTACAATAGTGGCCCAAAGGTTATGGGGATAACCAATCCCTTTTAGATTTTGAGACCTGCTCTACAGGAAGAAATTCAGGCCTGATATTAAAAACCCAGTCAAAAGCCCATGGTGAGGGCAATCACAGGCCCAGGGAAGAACTTATTGTTTTGCTGAAGGACATGTTGCCACACTGCCTTCTAAACACTTACATTTATACCTATAGGCCAGTCCTGCCCTTATCCTTGGCCAGGGTGGCTTCTCTGCAGTGGCCAGCAGTTATTAGATTCAATGGGCCAGAGTGCTGAGACAATGCCTGGGGAGTGCCCAGCCCTACATAGGGCATCGACATCAACCTTTCTCACAGCCTCCCCAGGGATCAAGAACTCTGTGGGAAAGGGGGTGCAAGGAATGTTAAGCTCCGGGGAGAGAAGAGCACTGTAAAATGCTGTCTTTCGAGAGGACAGGGACAGCACATTCCAGAACCTACTGCACCTGTGGCTACCTGCACAAGAGTAAGACAAGACCAGAACACACTTCAGCAGGCAGGACTAACTGGACTCAGCAGGCTACAAACAAAGGAAATGGGGGGGAAGAGTGTGCTGGAGTTTGGGGCAGGGGGGTTGGAGGGTTGAGCAGGGTGCACAGGACCAAGATGTTTGCATGTATAAAACTGTCAAAGAATAAATGAAATGTTCAATTGTTTAAGTAGTTCTAAGACCACCTACCCACTTCACTTCCTAGTGAAGTGCCAAGGCAAACTGACAATGCTGAGGTTGGGCACAAGGGCCCTGAATGCAGCAGAGGGGAAGGCCAGGCTCAAGCCCGTGTCCCAGGCACAGGGCTGAAAAGCCCTGGCAAGGTTTAATTGTGATGGCTTCTCCTGGAGAGCCAACCCAATATCTACCCAGGAGCTGAAGGTCACGTCAAATCTGAAAAGTGGCTTTGTTCTTTCACTTCGTCTGCTATGCATGAAAGAGCAGGCAGCTGGGCTCAGGATCCATAATTTGAGACATCCGGAGACTAAAGGCGTTGGCCAAATTTAAACAGAAGGATGAGCTTGTTGAGTGTCTTTTCAAATTATGGGGGAAAGAAGAAAGAATTCTTTAGTCTACTCTGATTCACTTGGGCCTTGCAGGGAGTCTGCTCGTCGGCTGGCATCAAAAGGACAATTGAAATAGGACTATTGCATAAATGCCCCAGACCCTCACAAGCCACAGGAAGGCGCAGTGTCTGGGGAGTCCCCAGACAGAAGTCCAAGGAACGTGAGGAATGCAGCCTTGCTGGAATGGTCACTGTGAGTCTGGGCAGGACATGAGCAGCTGGATCATAACCATCTCTTGGGAAATCGCTACATGACAGGATGAGGGCTAGAGATACATACCAGGCACTCAGGACAGAGCTACCTTCCTAATTCAGCCCGGTGTCCCCAGCAGTAGGAATCGAATGACACCTGGGCTCTCCTCACGTATGTAAGTCAGCTGGCACACAGGAACTGCTCTAAGAGTGGTACTCGCTGTCCGAGAGTCCACTGGGACTTTACGTATTCAATCCAGATGACCTTTTGCTCTGAGATAACCTGTGAGCCACCGGAGGTCTGAACTACCAATAATGTGATAATGGTCATTAGAGTCTCAAAACCCAGGGCCACAGGCACGGGAGACTGCTGTGCCCTGTTTACAGACAGGAAGACCAAGGCTCAAGGAAGCAGGTAACTAACCCAGGGCCATAGCTGGACTTTGAGTCTCTTAAATCACTGAACCCCCAAACTCTTATCTCTGTCCCCTTCACAAAGCCACACAACCTGAATTCACATGGGCCATGTCATCCTTAGCACTGAGCCCAGGACCAGAACATGAGTAACAGAGTAAGCCTGCAAGCCTGAGTCACTGGAGAGTCATGGGAAGATACTGTCCCTGGGAACACATGGGCACATTCACTCATGTCTCAGGGGCTCAGCATGTGACCAGGGCATATGGTTAAAAACTCCACCAGTGTCAACATCCTGGACCAGTGGCATGGTCTTGATGCATCACTCCTTGGTGACCTTGTCACACAGTGACAGTTGCAGAGAAAGGTACCCTGCTGGCTCATCAGCCTCCATTCTGGTACTACAAGGGCATGTGGTATACCCGTCTCTTGACACATGTCACCAAAGGGCAGGAGCTATGCCACTGCCCCCTCATCACCAGCAATACCCCTAAGAGGCGCTTATACTTAAAAGAGGGAACGTTTATTGTTTCTTTCTCAGAGCTGCCTTTCCAGCTTCACACAGCAGCCTCGGCAGCAGGCAGTCTGTGAAGACCACAGCATCACCCAACACCATGGCAGCTCCTCACACTCAGGACCCTGGAGCTGGCTGGGGTTGGAGGGGAGCTACCCTGATTCTAGGGAGGATTCTCCAAGTGCACTCCCCAAGGCAAGGAAGGGTCTGATTCAGCCACTCACTAAGAGCTGGGAACTCTAAGTCGTCCGGGGACTACTGAGACCTGCTCTCACAAGCCTGGCCACTGGGGACTCCTAGGGAGGAGAAGATGCTTGGGGCTTGGCTGAGGTTCAGGATGCCAGAGCCCATGGGGCCAGCGAGACTAAGGACAGCTCATCAATGGACTGCTCGACTACTGGGTGGGGTGGGGGAACTACTGGGGCTGCAGCATAATGGAGGGACAGAGAGATACTTCTAGAGGATTCCATTTAACCCGTGGAATCAAAAGACTTCAAAACACATCTTCCCGGAAGTCAGCAGCGTGGCAGCTAGCAGGGCATGGAGGCCCGCGCCAGCGCTGTGGGGAAAGGCACCAGATGGTTTGTTATGAAACACATTTTGGTCAGAAAATAGCTGGGGCTTTTTGGTTCCTGGGAGGACAACTAAGCTAGAGAGAAAGGAGGCGTGGGCTGAGAGAGGTTGGCAGCACAAACAGCAGCTTTGGTACCAGATCTGGGTTCTATTCTCAACTCCATCCTCCGACATGTGTTGCCTCAGTTTCCTTATCTGTAAAATGGATGAAAAGTATTCTGCCACAACCTAGTGCTAGGCTTTGGTATTATTCCAGGAATTAAGGGGAAGCAGAAAATGGGGGTACACAGGACACACAGACAAAACAGAAGGGCAGGCCCAGCTTTGTCTGTAGGGGACGCCCCAAAGCCACGCAGAGGTGATCCCCACGGTCGTGGTTGTGGTGAGACTCTAAGAGTCTGGGCAGCTGGTAATTAGATCCTAGCACTGCACAGCCCACCTCAGGGACTGTGGCCCTCTTGTAGAGGAAGGGCAGGAGGCAAGCTCTATTCCCACAGCACCATCAAGGACCTCAAACCATGTCCATTATGTGAGATAAAGTGCAGAGCTATGTGTCTTTGGTCAGAGGCTGCCTGTCTGAGAGCCTTAGCCACCTGGCCCCAGAGAAGCGGAACTTGAGGACCCCAGCTTCCCTGAAGGCCATGTCCCCTCCAGTGCACAAATAATAGGCTCTCACTGCTTGGGGAGTAAGGATGCCCCAGAGAGAAGGAACATGGAATGCTTTGGTCACTGTCTTGACACCCACTGGAGGGGGTGCTGGCTCCAGGAGAGAGGCCAGGAGGCCAGGCCCTGCCCTGCACACACCATGAGCTCCTGATGCAAACCTGCTTTCCGAGCATAAACCAGGAGTCACTGACTGGATAGTGCAGGCTCTCCCTGCCCTCCCTCCCTCCCTGCCTGCCTGACTGTGCAGCTCTCATCTGCAAGCTCTGCAAGAGCAGCTGACGGCTCCGTGTGATGGCTGCTCTGCTGCAGGTGGCTTTGGTCCATCACATGTCAAGGCCAGTTGTGTCCTGCCAGTCTTAGGCCCTCAGAAGTTGAAGAGGTCATCTTGATCAATGCCACTGCTGTCGGGCTTGTCCCAGTCAGTGGGCGATAAGCACTGTGCATAATGGATGTCCTGTGCTGACAGTCCAGTGTCCAGGACGTGAGGGTTCGTCCGTGACTGTGCCAGCCTGGAAGGCAAAGCTGTGTAAGTCAAACAATAGGCGAAGGGCTGGCAGGGGCTAATGAACAGGCATAGCCTGGCAAGAATGGGTACAGAGGGAGAGGACATGACTGGAAAGATGGCCAGACTCAAAGCTTGGCAGGGGAGCTAGAGTCCACCGCCCGACACCGCCTGACACTGCCTAAGAGGGTCAGAGCCCTGGGGCAGACCATGAACCCTACTCTAACAGAGGCCATCTGTAGGTAGGAAGTGTTCAGCCACGAGAAGACAGACACTTGGCGTAACCAAGGTGAGCATGTAATTCCCAACCGTCACATAAGAGGACAAGTCTAAATCTCCAGAAGAGGTCAGTACAGGGCAGCCCTATCCTGGGGGCTGGGAGGCTGGGGTGTGTGAACGCCTGGAGGGAGGCCTCTGACAGCACTGAGCCATGCAGAGTCCCCAGAGACTGATGGATGATGGATACAACGGTGTTCACGGTCGGGGGGCCGGTCTGGGCCAGGGACTATACTATACAGAGATTTGTTTGAGATTGTTAGTAAGGACCTGTAACAACTGAACATTCTGGAAAAGAGGGTGAAACTGTTTTTCAAACACAGGTGGAATTGGCCACTGAAGCAGAGAAGGTGGAGTAAAGGGTTGCTTCCTTGAGAAGGGCCTCACCTGCTGGTCAGACCCTGGCTAGAGAGAGAGAGGCACAGAGGGGAAGGGCAAAGATGCAAAGCCCTGAGGCAGGAGGCCTCTGAAGAGGCTGCACATCCAAAGGGGACGAGGGAGGCCTGAGGGCCCAGACTCAGTATTGGGACCCCACGGGCCCAGTCCTTGCCAGCAGCCTTCTTCAAGAGATGTTGAAATGACAAGCTGAGCCAGCATTCTGACTGAGTAGCAAAAGCATTCTCACATGAGACACCCTGCAAGGCTGTGTTCCTAAGTAGTAAGTTCCCTGTCGCCGGACAGATTCAAGAATTACTATGTAGACAGCTAGGGTGCTCAAGTTCTCAGTCAGGACAAAGGCTGAAGGGTAAAAAATAGTCAGGTCCAGCCCAAAACACATATTCCCAGCACAGGCCCTCAAAGTGTTACCTTGAAAATGCTTCATCCAGGCCATCGTCCAACTCCTTAGAAAGAAAGCAAGAAGTAAGAACTCTGGGTGGAGCCATGTTCCCCCAGGGAGCTACAGGGACCTAGGACCTGTACATGTGTTGGGAGGGGTTACCCAGGGAAACTAGCATAAGCAGGCTTTATACCCATAGACCCAAAGTTGGGGCCCAGGACAACTAGGCAGTACTGGTGTACATCTTTAATCTCAGCACTGGGGAGGTGGCTCTCTGAGTTTGAGGTCAGACTGATCTATAGAGCAAGTTCCAAGACAGATAGGGCTACATGGATGAACCATGTCTCAGAACCTCCTACCTCACCCCACCCCCCAAAAAAGAAAGAAAAGGGATGTCTCTGACCTCTGAGACTTGGCTTTTCCTTTTGTAAAATATGGGACAAGATTTCCACAGCTTTCTAGGAAAGGACAGAACTTTGCCATACCTCCTTCATGCCTGAGGCCAGCCACAGTCCTGTGCTATTTCAGGGTAACCAATGTTAGGAACTCACAGCCTTGGAGCTAAGTGCTATGTGAAACCCCTCCAAGGCCTCTAGGACAGATGGCAAATGGCAAATGTGGGCCTTGCCAGCAACGGACAGGTACAAGGGATACCCAGGTTGCTCCCGACAGAGGTAACCTGACAGTTATCGGGAGTCCCATCATGTGAGGAGATAAAGTGGCCTGGTGGCACAGGCTTGGGGTCCCAGATACTTGGGAGGATGAGGCAGGAGGGTGCTGTGGAAGGTCGGTGCCCTCCCCGAGGAGTAAGAGGACTGACACAGAGGGGCAGGTAGATCTCTGAGTTTGAGCACAGCCTTGGGCTATAGAGTGAGTCCCAAGACAGTCAGGGCTACACAGAAAAACCCTGTCTCAAAATACCAAAATCCAAACCAAACCAAAAACAAACAACCCCCTATGACAAGCACAGGATGGCATGTGGAACACAGTCCCATCGGTCATTCTCAAGTGCTGATCAAGAAGTGTCTATGGGACACTGGAATACTGGTGCTATTTTTGTAATGCAGTTTGAAACCAACCACTTCCAAATGAAACTTGAAATTAAAGGCCATGCAGATTCCTCTGTCCTCTGGGCACTGCCATGGAAGGTCGGTGTCATTGCTGAGGGAGTAAAAAGGCTGACACAGAGGTCAGGCACTGGCCATGAGTCCCGAGAACCTGCTGTCTGGCTATGCATTCAGATAACTGAGAAGGGAGGGTGCTAGGCACAAACCTGCCACCCTTAGAACAAGGGAGCCTTTGCTGATCAGAAAGAGAAGGCCACAGACATCTAGATTCAGTTCTGTGAGGAGATGGCCCTGCCGGGAACCAGGCCTGCTGGGGACACAACCTTCAGTCACTCCACCCAGGGCCTGATGGGCTGGGTCTGGTCCTTCCAGAGGTCCATTTATTTTTCACAGTGTGAGGGCCTGGGTCTGGGAACCACTTCAGGCTTATTCAGAGATCTGGCTAACACTGGATCCCAAAACCATGCCTGGGCCATGGAACTACTTACCCAGACGACACTGTTGTTGCTCAAGACTTGAGGCCGCAGTGTCTCGTCCATGTTGTTTGTATTAGTGGAGACCGTGGACAACGGAGCCTTAGACACTTCTTCCAAATCCAGCAGGTTCCCAGTAGCAACCACTACAGGGGGCAGTTGGGGGCAATCAGGAAGACATACATCTCCTCTAGCCTCTTCTGCACACAGCAGACATTCCAGTACCCTCACACTACACCAGTCCTGATTAGTCCTGGGACCTTGACCTTGTCCAGATGTAGGACGAACCTTGACCATCTGGAGCCCCATTTTGACCCCCTCCCACCCCTGGTAAAGGACAGTTGGCCAGAGGAGAGAACCTGTGGCTCCCAAAGGTAGACCCTGGAGCCTGCATATTTGCATATTCATAACATAAATGGGATGTTTAAAAGTGCACCAAGTAGCCGGACAGTAGTGACACACACTTAATCCCAGCATTTGGGAGGCAGAGACAGGTGGATCTCTGTGAGTTCAAGGTCAGCCTGGTCTACAGAGCAAGTTCCAGAGAACTTATACAGAGAAACCCTGTCTTACAAACCTAAAACAAAAGTGCACCAACTGGTCTGGATGTCTGAAAGGCTGGGAAGCAGACGGGAGCACATACATATTTATGCGTATATGCCGGGACATGCCTGGACAAGTGTGTATCAGAACGGAACCCTTCTTAGCTACTCTTCCCACAAGGCACAAGTATTCCTGATTTAACAGAACAAAAGGAGACAGCAGGAGTTCAGGAGGGAAGCCGAGGATGGAGGGCAGGCTCGGGGCCAAGACTCACAGCTTTTCAATGATGGGGTGCTGTCATGTCGGGTCCCTGAGATGTCTCCTCCCTCTTGGTTGGCTTTCTCCCTCTTCTCTTTCTCTGTGGGATCAAGGCATGGCATGCTGAGGCCCTTACAGCGCTGCCTCCATAAGCGGCGGGGGGGGGGGGGGGGGGCAAGCTGAGGGCACTCAGGGGCAGTATTAGGGCTCCGCCAGGAGGAAGGACACCTTCCAAAGTTCATTTAAGTCCAAACACTCTGAAGAAGGGGCAGATGGCCTTTGTCCAGATGGGGAAAGTGAGTCTTAGAGACCTGTTCTAAACCACAATCCCAGCAGGGAATGAGGCTGGGGCCAGCTCAGGTCCGACTTCCAGCCTGTATCCATCCCTGTACACATCACTCACAGGGCCCCAGGGAAAAGACTCACCTTCCTTGGACACCTGCCAAAACTCAAAGGCAACTTTGAAGGCCTGGGCTACAGTGAGGGTGACGGCTTGCGCCTGAAAAACAGGAAACGAGGGTGGGGATGGGTGCAGTGTCAGCCAGCAAAAGCAAGTATGAACTGGAGGGCTGGGGGGCGCCCAAGCCATGACAGGCTCTGGAAGGCCCAGGGGAGGGTATAGGGGCCTAGCTGTTCCATTTCCCACAGAAGCTTGGGGCAGTTGGGGCCCAATGCGGCACCTCCTGTCCACTGTCGTCAGTCACCCCACCCCATCCCATCCCCACCACAGTGGTCATTCACCTCTACATTTTCCTTCCTGCCATGCACACCTAAACCAACTGTGAGGACTACTTCTTCTGGAAATCCCTCCTCACACTCAGAGCCCTTGAGCTAGACAACAGAAGTCAGGAGTGCATGGCCCTAGCCATGCCTGGGTGAACTACAGCCAGAGAGATGGAGGTCACACTGTACAGGGCTACAGGACAGCTAATAACTGACATCCCAGCCAGGCAGGAGGTGGCAGGATCAAGATGTTGGTTATGATAAGGAAGAAAAGCCATCTAGCACTGTGGCCAGCCTGAGCAGGTGCCTTGGGTCCCAACTTCAAATCCCAGCCACATGTCACCACCTCTCCTGTGCCCAGCTCAGGGCTCTATGGCCGGCTCACCTCCCTCTGGAATCTGCTGATGAGAATGTCCCTAGTTCACATGCTTATATCCCCATGTGAATGTTTCCTTTCAAGCAGGAGTGATGCCATAGCTCAGACAGAGCCCTCAGATGGCTGCAGTGGTGTCTCAGGTCCCAATTGACACATAGATTACTACAATCTCCTGTTAGCCCAATTCTGAGGTAACCAGCCCAGAGCTTGGAGTGCAAAGCCCAGAGAAGGGTACCACACTCAATTGCAGAACAAGTTCAGGTTTAAGCAGCCTCCACCAGACAACTTAATTTAATTGATAAATAAATGTAGGGCCACCGCCTTCAAAACTCTTAAAAAAAAAAAATCCAAAATCTCCAAACTGACTGATCTGCGCCAATTAAACTTCACGAAGTATAAAAATCTCATCTGAATGTCTCCGTCATTTACATTTTTGATGGAAGTGAGGATGCTTTATGGTAAAACTTAAATATGGTAATTAAGTGCAAAAGTCTTCACAGCTGTTTACAATTTAAGCTGTCATGTCTGAATCAAGTTTAATAGACCCAGTTACCATTGAGAATTGCCCGTGAACTAAAAATATGGGCTAATTACCAGCCAAGTCAGATCACCACACTCTGAAACAAGGGCTAGTCACCCATGTGTCAGGGCTATGGAAACACCAGTATATCTGCCTGCAGGAACCTGAGGACAGGGGCTTGTGCTGTTTACAAAAATCTGGCTCGTTTGTGTATACTCCTGCCCCTGTGCCCTGGTGTCATTTACAGGAAGTCACAATGAACATGTAACCCGAGCTGAGATGTGAAGCAATGTGTGCAGGTCTGGACTGGGAAGGCCCCAGAAGTATGAATCACAAGAACACATGCAATCCCCAGGGTACTGTACAGCTCTGCTGGGACTTCTGCTGAGGGTCTTTCTTATGACCAGAAGCTTCCTCCTGGTCCAGCTACCCATGTCCCTATCTCATGCCACCCAAGCAGGCTGTATCAGTAAGAGGGCCAAGTAAGCAGCCCAAACCAGGCCCCGTGCTTATCTGGCTCCCATATTAACCTCTGCACAGAGATTACTCCAGAACACCAAGGCCCACATGGAAGAATTAGCTCTGTCCCTTTGCCAGACAGAACTGGGGTGTCCAGGCCTATGCCCACACTGGGAGCCCAGACTCCCTCCTCCACCTCCACTTCTGATCACCATCATGGAGGCTGTGTTTGCTAAGCTGAGGCCTCTCACATGAGCATAGGGAATCACTTCCTTGCAGCGACCTTCTCACCATGCTCAAATTAAGACCAAGAAAGGGACTGCACTGTGGGGGACCCCAGAAGGGACTCCTTCTCCAAGCCTCTTGCTTGGCCAGCAAGGAAGGTGGAGATTCAGTGAGGACCATATTTGCACTGTGGGTCCTGTAGACTGACCATGCCTGCCTATCTAATGGTGTCTTGGGACCCAGCACATCACATCAAGTTGTGCTTCTCTGCACACTCAATCCCTAAGCCCTCAGCCTGGCACACTCCTGTTCACTACTCTACTCATCCTTTAGGCCTTCAGTCTCCCCTAACCTCCAGGTCCAAAATCCTCCACCCTAGAGCCAAGACCCAGACTCAAGGTCAAACTGGCCCTTCCCACACAGACTTGTGCAGGCCCCTATTGTACGCTGCAGAGCCTTGTCCCCAAACTGGAGACAACTGACAGGAAGGAGGAGGAGCTGAGCCAAGGCCCCTGCCTCTCCCTCAGATTATCACGGAATCTGGGGCTTGAAAGCTGTCACTCGGTCAGCCCACCAAGCTACGGCCTTGAAGCCCGGGGATGAACCTGTACCACCCCAGTGTGACTTGGAAACCCTGGGTGACAAAGGGTAGAAGCAGGTGGGAGACAGATCATAGCCAGGTCACACAGAGAAACAAAGAGCTGGGTGTCCAGTGAGAGCCCTGCCCACCACCCGTGAGGCTATACTAGCCACAGCCACGGGAAGCTGGCTTCGGCTTTTCTCACCAATGCCCTCTGACCTGGGGCAGACTACGTATAGTCCTCTGGCCCAGGCCTCCTCCTGAATGGCTGGGCCTGCTCCCTGTGCTGGGCAGAACCCTATCCCGGAGGGAGCTGCTTCGCATGACCACGCCCCTCCCGCCAGTGCCCACAATGCAGTAATGACCCGGGGCCAGCAGCCCTGCCTGGTGCAGTGAGGAGGAAGAAGCAAACAGTGGGGACGCAGTAAGTTTGTATATTTTTTAAGTCAATGTGGCCTCACTCATACCAAAGTCTCCCCCATCTGTGGGGGCCAGGCTGTTATGGGAGAATTCACCACTGCTTAGAGCCCTGTAGGAGCCCAGAGGGATGACTGGTAACTCGGAGTCTGCAAGGAGACAGGCATGCAAAAGAAACGGGGCCTTTGGAATGACCATGGATGGGGTCAATGAGGTGAGCCCATGCTGATAGGTAAGCAGACCAGAAAAGGGCAGGGTTCAGCGGCTGTTCCCATTCTCCTGAATGTCCTGTGCACAGCAACCGAGCCCCACAGGTAGGATTAGGGTGTTGAGATGGGGAGATAAACCTGGATTATCCAGTGGCCATTATCACCTCAGGGACCTGAGAGGGTGAGTTAGAGAAACAGCAGTGTGAGAATGGACACTGTGGGAACCCTACAGGCTCATATATTTGAATGCTCAGTCACCAGGGAGTGGCAATATTTGAGGATTAGGAGGATTTTGAGGTGTGGCCTTGTTGGAGAAAGTGTCACTGGGGGTGGGCTCTGAGGTGGTTGCTCTCTCTGCTTTTGGATCAGGATGTAGCTCTCAGTGTCTGCCCGCACACTGCCATGCGCCTCGCCATGATAGCCGACTACACCTCTGAACTGTAAGCCTGCTTCAGTTAGTGCTTCCTCTCACAGGGGTTGCCTTGGTCATGGTGTCTCTTCAGTGACTAAGACAGACACGCTATGGAAAGATGGAACACAGGGCTGTAGGTAGACTGGGAAGGTACTCTAGGAGGTAGCAAAGCGAAGACATGGCTCTCTCCAGGGCTGCTGAAGAAGCCCCCCATGGCCTATTCCAGCTGCCTCTTCCCCGGACCGGAAGAGGATGAATCTGTGCTGTTTTGGGTCACTAAGTTTGTTGTCATTTGTTCCTGTGGCCCAGGAGCCCCAGAGACCATGGAGTTCCCGATGTGCCCTTTGATGGAGAAGGAAAGTGTCTCATCTCGTGCCTCTGAGAACCAGGGGCCTGGGGAATCAGGCTCTGAGCTGTGGGCAGATGCAGACGCTGAGCCAGCTGACACTCAGCCCTCAAAGGCCCCAGAAACCAAGGTGTCAACAATCACCTCAGAACAGCTCCGTTTCTCACCAGTCACAGCAGAGGCTGGAGACCACCAAGGTGCCTCCATCATCACTCAGCCCCATCAGATGTGGCCAAGGGGCAGGGACAGGAAACTCTCAGCCTCTCTCCCAGTTGTGCAGAGCCTCACTCTGCACCTGGCTGGCTGTGCCATCATGAGCAAGATTGCTGTCTTCCAGGGTGTGTCGTATTGTAATTAAAAGGCTTAAAGAAAGGCAACTGAGACCTTAGCCATTTCCACCTTATAGAACTGCCCTGGAGACTAAACAAGAAAACACTTTGAAACCCAGCTCCAAAATGGGCCCAGAGGGTGTTGCAAAGGAGCCATTTGCCTCTGCCCAACCCCAGACCTAGTCCAGAGAAATCTCACTTTTACCCTACATGGGTCCCTCTGGTTTCCCCTCTTCACAAGCTGATCCCTACAAGGCCTGCACCCCGGACTGTACTAATGACAAGAGTCACAGCCTCAAACCCAACCAATCACATTACTGAGAGGAATACGCCCAGGCACTTCCAGGGAACATGGGCTGGTCATTGGCACACCCAGCCAGTCCAGCCAGTCTCTGCCCGACTCCATCCCTGGCAGTACCCTCTGTCCTCTCACACCTGCTTGTGATTCCTGGGGACTCCTCCTGTCTTTACCTCCCTGTTACTGCCCCCTCTGGGCCTGGCCCTCCCACTGACCACTTTCCGTTTGGTGCAGAGGAAGGCGTGGCACTCCAGACTCTCGCTGTGCTGGCTCTGAGCGATGTATGCGAACACCTTGTCGTGCATCTTGTCTGCGGTGCAGTAGGAGATCCTGAAAAGCATCGAGAAGTATCACCAGGCCTGCAGGGCACCTCCTCCCATCTGGATGTGCCTTCCCTGGGTCTCAGAGTCTGCTGCCTAGTCTCCACCAGGCACACCTCTGCAGATCTGGCCTTGACAGCGAGAGACTCAGGCCAGGCAGGGGACATGGGGAATAAGGAAGAAGTCCCCAAGTGTGAGCCACAGCCCTAACAGGAACATCTGAACCCAACTGCACAGCAGCCAGCGCACCAAAGGCCCTGCAGATTCTTCCCTGTTAACCCTCTGAACCATCCTTAGAGCTGGGGGTCTGGGGCACAATGCTGACAGAGCCAGGGTGAGAACTCACAACCACAATCCTGAGGGGTCTGTGTCAACTGGCTGGGAGGAGAAGCAAGACGCTGCCTTCCACATATTCTATACCACCAGATACCACAGAATGGCCAGGACCATGAGCAAGTCCTCCTGGAACTGTGACAGGGCTGGGGCTGGGGCTAGGGGAAGATGACCCACCCCGGAGCCCCAGTGGGTGCAGAGGAGACATCAACTTCCTCTGCAGTGAAGTGACCTTTCGAACCTCTGCCCACAACCTCTGCTCACCGAGGCCTCTTGTCTAGCCCTACCCTGCTTCTATTTATCCTGAGAATCAGGGGAAGGGCTGTTGGCTGGGGGTGTAGCTCAGCCGATTCACTCTTCACGGACGTAGTCCCAACGTTCATCACATTTCAATACCAACACTGATCCCCAGAAGGGAAGAAGAGGGTGCCATATCCCCAAGTATCCATCCCAAGTATGTGACCTCCTCTAATCATTCTTTGCTTCTGGATGGCCAGGTCCTGCAAGGTGCCACCTCTACTGGGAGGTACTCCCAGGTTTCCCCTGGCAACCTCCTTGGCCTTCTTGGGAACACTGTCTCCTACATCCTTCCCTTCTTTCCAGACTGGAAGTGCTCAGAGAGCAGGGGCAGGCAGGCACGTGGACGTGCTGGCTAAGGGAAGGCAGGTGGAATCTGGACAGTGGCTTAAAGGCCTCTTGAAGCACTCAGCCCACATGTGCTGTGCCTGCCACACCCTGGCCCAGGACTTGGGCAGACAGATCTCTAGCTGATGTCCTAATCCCAGGGTTTGGACTGCTTCTACCCAGTTTTGTACTCCCACACCTGACCCGCTGAAAAGAAGTGGGATAGGATAGCCTGAATCCCCCAGGGATGGACCCTACATCCCTAGGAGCAGAGAGGGAACATCTCCACTTTTGCTCCAGATCCTGCATGAGGCCTCTGAGGAACACTGAGCCAGACGACCAGGGCTGAGAACTGTGTTTAAGGCAGATCAGGCAGGTTTCACAGCTGTGTGTTCCCAGCCTGACTTAGCTGCAGCAGAGGTGCATGGCCAAGCACAAGCCTTCTGAGGCGGCTTCAGCTGGTTAGGGGATAGCAGTACCCATCATCACACCACAGTCCCTGTGAGCTGTGGGTTACTTGCTAGCACTACACTAACAGCACCGAGAGGCAGGGCCTGTCCCCAGCCCATTGACAGATGAGGAAAACTGAGGTTCCCTGCACCCCAGAAGGACAGCTCTAGAGCCAAGATTCAGACAGAACACACCAATCACTCCGTGTGTCAGAGCAGACATGGCCACTCCCTGTTGGGCATACCTGTAAATGGACACGTTCTCAATGAGCTGGCTAGTGAGGCTGTCAGTCAGGATGATTCCCCTGGGCGACACCTTGAGAGTTACCTTCTGCAGCTTCTTCCCGCTGGCCTTGGCCTAGGGGCACACAGGGTTCAGAGTAGCCTGTCTGGCGGCCTGTACCTCACTACTCCAAGGTCCCTCAGCTCAACAACTGGCAGGTGCCAGGGGGTGGACACTTAACCAGCACTTTATTCTGGCTAGTTTTTGTCATCTGGGAAGAGGGACCCTTGATTAAGAAAACACCACTATCAGACTGGCCTGCAGACAAGCCTGTGGGGGCATTTCCTTGACAGGTGATTGACATGGGAGGACCCAGCCCCTTGGAGCGGGGTTACCCCTGTGTAGGTGGTCCTGGATGTAAGAAAGCAGGCTGAGCAGCCAGTAAGCTTTATTCCAAGGTCTCTGCTTCATTCAGTCTCTGTTCTGACTTCCCTCGGTTTAAGGCAAACAAACCCTTTGCTACTCAACTCATTTTTTGGTCACTGTTTTTAGCACAGCAACAGAAAGCAAACCAGGACAACCCTGCTGAGCACAAATGGACAACCACTAGCCTGATGCCTGGTGAGAACTGGCCCTCACAGGAGGGGATCAACACCCCCTATCCAGGAAGACGGGGACTCCTAGGGGAAGGGACTAGCCCAGGGACATGGGGAGATTGCCACAGCCTAGCACCATGACCTAGGGACCAGCTCCACCCACATGCCAGGGCCTGAGCTACAGGCCAAGGCCACCCTAGGGAACGGACTTAAAGGGCCCACACCCACTCAGAGGTAGGGGCAGGACACTGTGGTGGACCACACAGCCAAGCAGTGAGAACATGGTAAACGGGGGGGGGGGGGGGGGTGTGTGTGACACAACTTCCTTCCCTCCTTGGAGCTAGTGAGTCACCAGGAGCCTGAGGTGGGGATTGAGGGCTGGCAGCACTCAAGGCCAGGATGGCCTGAAGAGGGTGCTAACTGACCCTTACAGGCAAACACAAAGGCAATCTCCAGAAATACCCCTGAGCTGGGCACAGCACACTCCAGCACATGGCATACAAATCCCACCTGGGGACAAGGGCGGCTGGGGCAGGGGGAGCTGACCTGGACTCCTGTCCTTCTATCTGGACACTCACTGTGGCCACGATCCTCTTGACAGCAGCTGCCGACAGCTCCTCGCCCTTGGGCCGCTCCACCAGCGTCATGCCAAGGTACTTGAGGCTGAAAATCATGCCCTCCAGCAGTGTCTCCCGAGTATCCGTCCAGTTCTCTGGTAACTCTAGCACAGGACAGGCAGCCCTCAGAGCTGAGCGGACCTGGCTCTCAGCACCCACCTCCTCAGCACCCCTACAGAGGGCTATGGGGTAGCCCCACCTTACTTTAGCTATTACCTCCCATCCTGCCCAAACCCTGACCAGTTTCACATGCACTGTGCCCATTCACCCTCAGGCACACCCACTGCAGACTGCCAAGCCAAGTCAGAGCCCATCAGTCTAGAGCCAAGACTCGGCTATGCCATCTCATGAGCCCAAACTCTGAGGGCGAATGGTCCCACCTCCTCCCTGAGTCCTCAGTCTGATTCTTTGAGATGGGGTTACCACATTATGGTAGCTTGAAAGAAAATGACCCCCAAAGGGAGGTGCGATTTTGTTGAATTAGATGTGACCTGGTTGGAGGAAATATACCACTGTGAGGCGGGCTTTGCTCAGTGTGATTCAGTCCACTTCCTGCTGCCTGCATAGCCACATGTAGCAGCTACCTCTGCAGCATCATGTCTGCCTGCATGTCCCACCATGATGATAATGGGCGGAAGAGAGCCCAATTAAATGTTTTCTTTGCAATAGTTACCATGGTAGCCAGGCAGTGGTGATACACACCTATAATCCCAGTACTTGGGAGGCAGAGGCAGGTGGATCTCTGAGTTCAAGGCCAGCATGGTCTACAGAGTGAGTTCCAGGACACACATAGATAAGGAAAATGATGCTCAAGAGTTGAAGACACTGAACAAAAAAACACCACAGTAAATATAGGTAACTACCCACCAGCTGGTACATCCCAGCCCACACCTGCTTTAAAGATGGGCAACTCTGAAGACCAGCAAAGATACAGTTACTCAAGGAGAGGGTTAGATATCAGTGGCTCCACTGGGCTGCAGCCAAGGCCCATGGAAAGGGTCCTCCAAGACACCCTGGCCATCACTCATGTCAGAAAGGAGGAAGGGTGAGCCTGGGTTGAAAATCAGGGTAAGGGAGAGTTGGGAAGGGCACCATGTGGTCCCCATGTAGGAAGGAATGCAAGGGAAAGTTTGGCCATCCCCCAGTTCCTCCCTGGAGCTGAGGCTAAGGGTGTCCATTACATAGTGGAAAATGAGGCCAAGCTTACTTGAGAGAGTGAGGTCACTGGAGATGACAGTCCAGCCCTGTTAGGGTCCTGCCTGTCAACCCAAGATGCTACAGCCGTAGGAGGTACTCATGTGACTGTGCCCATTCCACACAAGTCCTGTGCCCCTCCCCCAGGATGGGAAAGCCATGGTACAAGCTTAGGATATTCCTGCACTGTCAGGAGTAGGAGGAATCTTGGGCTCAAGAGACACTACCATGCCCCTGTCCCCTCTGGATTCCCTGCCCCAGAGCCTTGAGTTCCTGGGACCCTATCATTTCATTCACACGGCTCATGCCTCAGGATCTATGTTGAGTAAGATACTGTCCCTCACTGACATTGTGTGTTTGTGGGTGGACATGGCAGGGGGTCTGCAAGTATTACCCCTCCTCTCAGACCCAGGTAAGATGACTTAGCCGACTGGCCACCCAGAGCCTGACACACAGCTGGCACTCAATGTTTTCTGAGTATAGGAATGTCAACACTAGTTATGTTTGACATGATGCCCCAACATGACATCCCATCCATTAGATCCTCCAAAAGAAAGCAGAGAGTCCCCATGGTATCCCCAGTTCTGTGTCAGGCAATAAGGAAACCAGAACAATTCCCTGCTCTGGAAGAAAGCAACACTCACAGCACTCTCTCCAGGACACGCAGAACCAACATATCAAGGCACAGCAGCCGAGGAACTGGAGGGCAAAGGACACTAACTTGCCCCTGCTCCCGATCGCTGGATCACACAACTCATCATAAGGCAAACTGCGTCCAGTTTAGTCAAAGGTCAGGAAAAGGTTATTAGGTATTTCCTAACAACCAATTCCTACTTCCCCACAGCCCAAGATACCCGGTCCACAATTTCCAACCTGAGACACATACATGCCAATGCCTGTGTCCTTGGCAGACATTGCTAATAGACAGCAGTGCTTCCCCATTTCTCAACTATGGCCTCAGGCAGGCGATACTAATCAATCAGGGGTGACCTCTTCACATTATCCATGCCTGCCTTAAGGCAGACATCCTTCCCCTATCTCTGGGTCCCACTCTCCCATTTCCTCTGGCTCAGCCCTTTCCTGGCCCCTGTCCAAAGCCACTTCCGCTCACTTCATTCCAAAGGGCCAACGCTTGCCAAGGTCACTGGTGATCTCTTTGCTGTCAAAACATTCTCTCCTCCTTGACCTCAAATGCTTGACATTTTTCTACATTCCTCCTTCCCTGGCCTGACCCTTCTCTACAGTACTGCCAACTTCTACATTGTCTACCAGGTCCAGCTTCAGAAACCCTCTACCCAACCCTTTACATGACAGGTGATCCAACTAAAGCCCAGAGAGGTTTAGAACCTGTGCAAGATCACACAGCAAGTCAGAGAGTGGAGGTGCCCACAGTGATAGCTGGAGTATTTGAAAGCTCCTCCCTCCCCTCTGAACACACACACCCACAAGCTCCCACCACACAGCTCAATATTCAAATGCTCTTTCCAAGCAAGGCATGACAGTACCCACCTGCAATCCCCGGGGGGGGGGGGGGTGTTTCCTAAATTAGAAGCTAGCCTAGAGCACACCTTAAGATCACGTATAAGAAAAAACCTTTAATCCCAGCATTTAGGAAGCAGAGGCAGACAGATCTCTGAGAGTTTGGGGCCAGCCTGGTCTACAGAGCCAGAGCTACAGTGATCTGCACATCCACCCTCTCCCAGAGTGGCAGGCAAGCTATCCCAGTGGCTAAGGGCAAGGGCCTTAGTTTGATAATCTGAATGACCCTGGGTGAGATCTCCATGAGCCTCAGTCTCCTCATCTATAAAATGGAGAAAGTAGTTTGGGGCATTATTTAGTTGGTGGAGTACTTGGTTAGCACGCATGAAGTTCTGGTTTCCACCCCAGTACCGAATAAATGAGGTATGATAGAGCATGCCTATAATCCCAGCACTTGGGAGGCAGAGGCAGGCAGATCTCTGTGAGTTCAAGGCCAGCCTGGTTTACAGAGCTAGTTCCAGGACAGGCTCCAAAGCAATACAGAGAAACCCTGTCTTGAAAAAAAGATTATCATTGGCTACACAGCCAGTTAGAGGCCAGCCTGGCACACACAAGACTGTCTCAGAAAAGAAAAACATAAATAAAAATGAAATGGGGGCTGAGGTGACTCAGCAGTTAAGAATACTGCTGAGCCAAGTTTGGTTAGAGAGCTCATATTGCTTCTAACTCCAGCTTGAGGGGGATTCCATACATCTAAGTTCTATGGGAGCCTGCACTCAGGTTCATACACACATACACACATTATTAAAAAAAATAAAAATACTTACAAAATAAAGGGAGTGGATTTGAGGACAGCCTGGTCTGCATATTGAGTTCCAGGCCAGCTAGGGCTCCATAGTGAGGTCTCAAAAAGAGGGTAAAATAGAGAAAGCAACCAATCATACCAGGCTAATGAGATACAGTGTTACAAAGTAGAAGGCTGAGGGCCAAGTCCCCAGGCAGGTATCTATCTGCAGGCTTGCTCAACCCTGGCTATGTCTGTTGTTACCTTGAGCAGAACTCTACCCATTCCTCCCCAAGCAGCATCACCCATGCCCAGCAGCTGCTTCTGCGTGCCTTTCTCCAAAGGACCTGTCCTCAAGCCTGCTCCCCAGGCTGCAGGGCAGAAGGGCCCCTGCCCTGAAAGTTCTCCTTGTCTCTGCCTGCCTACCCTTGCAGGCCAGCCTTCTCTCTGTGCTTCTGGGCACGTGACTTGTTCTTCACTGAGGTTCTTCAGGGCCTCTGGCGCCCACAACTTCCCCAAGAAAGAGCACTGAGACAAACAGACAGAGCAGTGTGGTCTCCTACCACCGGACACTACAAACAGCAAGGAGCCAGGGCTGCACCCCTTCCCAAGCAGAGCTCCCAGAGGCCCCTGGGCAAATACAGGCCTGTGCCCTAAGCCTTATTCCAGTCCGAGTTATTTTCAGCCCTGTGGTGGGTAATGACTACGCTATTTTCATTTTGTAATTTTACAGATGACCTGCTGTGGGAGTTAGCTGGGGACAGACCTCAAGTCCAGTCTAGCTTCAGCTGGCACCACATGCTCCTTCCTTGTTAAGGTCCCCAAGAGGGGTTAGGGCCACTTGGGCACCCTGCCCTGGCCCCCCATTGCCAGGACCTGGAAGGGTGGTGGTGATGACAGCTCTGCCCAGGGACCCAGTCTGGTTCCCAAGCCTGATGAGGGAGTCTCGGAAGCGGTAGGGACATCCTAGGAGAGGACCTAAACTCTGCCCTGCCAGGAACATGACAAAACAAATTTAGTGGGTCTTTCAGGGCTTTCACGGTGAAAGTTTTGGAATATGATCAGAATAAAAAACCAGGCATTGTGGCAGATGCATGCCTTTAATCCCAGCACTCAGGAGACAGAGGTGGGTGGATCTCTGAGTTGAGGCCAGCCTAGTCTACAGAGTGAGTTCCAGGATAGTCAGGGTTACAGGGTTACACAGAGAAACCCTGCCTCAGAATAAAACAAAAACAACACAAAGACTAAGCCAATTTCAAAAATTAAAACCGAGATCATTCTCAAAAGTGAATAATTAAGTGATTGCTACCTCAGCCAGGGCTTCCTCATACCTGCATATACTAGAAAGGAAAAGTAAGGGCAAAAAAAGTTCCTCCGCCTCCCTGTGTCCTTGTTTGCAAATGGGTAACAGTACCCTCTCCATGGGGTTATTGTGAAGAAGATGAACTCGCACATGACCCTGCCCGAAACAACACCAAAAGCCCCGTGAGCACCAGTCACTGTCACTGTCAACCACCAAGCAAGCACAAGAGGCTTTAACATACATGAGCTAAGCTTTATGAAGTCACTGTCACAGTACCTCAGGCAAGAAACACAATGAAGGATCAATCCTAACTGACAGCCCTGATACTCAAACTCTATACCGCATCCTGCAACCACCAAGCTCCTTCCAATGTACGGCAGAGGTGACACCTGCCACAGCACCCAAAGAAGAGTGTCTGACCTCTGTCAACAGTGACCTGACTCCTCAAACATCCTGTCCCTCCCTCAGCAACCAGACTTCAAGGAGCCTCTGGTTCCGTGTCCTCCGACCCGTCGTTCCACCCGCAGAAGGCTCTTCCCACGTTTTTCCCTCCCTGACTCACCTGTGTCCTCCAGGTCAGCTTCTCAGAAGCTGCCACCACCTATTACGCCAATCCATCCCCTCTAGGCAGGCCACTTTCTGACACAGAAACCAGTGCCTGCCACTCTGCCTGCAGCCTGGCTGCTGCAGGTACCAGTGCTCTGTGGTGCCTTGCAACATGGAGGGCTATGGCCTCCATCTGCAGCATCCTCCAGGCACAGGTTGGTGGGTCTAGCTCCAGCCACTGCCATTCAGGAGCAAGACAGTACAGTGCTAATTCTGCCTTGAAAGACCTCTGTAGGAAGGCCCAGGGGCTGCTCCACTGTCCACTATAGGGGGCTTCCTTCCCTTCTCAACTGTCCTGACCACACTTCCTGGGAAATCCACCCAAACAGTCTGCACTTGGACCCTTGTCTCAACAACGACTTCTAGAATAACACAGTCGCCACCTTTATCTGGAAAGGCTGCCCCTCTGCTGCTTATCTTTTTCTCTAGCATTCTATGCTAGCCCCACCAAATATCTGCGGTTGTCCCTTCCTCCACCAGAAGTGAGGCAGTCACACTACACTATCAGGAGACACAGTCAGACTCACTGTGCCCCTATTGTTGTCAAAGGTATCAACATTCTGGGGGTTTTGTTTTGTTTTGTTTGGGGGTGTTGTGCTATTTTTTGAGACAAGTTCTCTCCATTATGTGGCTCTGGCTGTCCCGCAAACTGGTTTATAGACCAGGTTGCCCTGAAACTCAAGAGATCCATCCACCTGCCTCTGCCTCCCCACTGCTGCAAGTAAAAAGGGCTATGCCCAGCAGTATTTACAACCCTATAGGTAAATATGAATAGGCCACACACAGAGGCATGTATTACTGTATTACCTTTACTGGAATGGGCACCTTATATTTCTTTATCCTTTTTCTTTGGGTCCTCTGACAGGCTAACACATCCCATACAGGAATCCTGGCTCAACATATGCTCTGTGCCTGGAGCCATGGACTCCACTTCCCTGTCCGTTATCTCTAAAAATGGGTCTGAAGATAAGAATCCTAAGCTTCATCACCTCCCAGGAACTAATGAGCTAACAGAAGCCAAACACCAGAGACAAAAGCAAGAGCATGCATTCATCAAAGCCACTCCTAGGCGAGAAAAATACACACAGACCGTCCCACAGGAGTCCCAGGAAAGTAAGGCTCTTCTTGGTAAAATAAGATTATGAGCTTGACACTTAAGCAAAGGCAGCCCAGGGTTCTGAGGAGCTCACTGTGAGTACAGACCTTTGAGAGGAGCAGGGAGATTTGCTTTCCTCCTGGATGCGGACAGGCTGACACCCCCATCTCAAGCTGGCCAAACCTGGTTATGAATTAGGTTTGGCTGGGAGGACACGGTGGTGCACACTTTTGATTCCAGCACTTGGGGAGGCAAAGGCTCAAAGCTTGCCTGGCCTACTTAGCAAGTTCCAGACCAGCCAGGGCTATATAGTAAGACCTTACAGTCAACCTGGAAACTATAGTAGCAACAGCTTAACTAACACCTAGCCCAGACTTGCCTCAAACTCACTATTGGCACAGCATGACCTTGAACTTCTGACCCTCAGGCTTCCAAGTCCCTAGTGCTGGGATTATAGACATGTGCTGCTACAAAACGGTTTGTGAAGTGCTGATGAGGGAAACAAGGATTTAGGACCTCAGAACTTCCTGCAAGCCAGGCAAGCACCCTACAGAACACACCACACACATCTCCAGCGCCACAGGGATTTTATCCCCACTCTGCAGGCTGGGAAACAAAATCGACAACAAGTGACCTGCCTTAAAGTGGAGCAGGCAGGGGAACCTCACCATCCAAAACGTACTCTGTTCCTCCAGGTTCATCTCTGCTCCCTGGCTCCCTCCTCTTCAGACCTCCTCCCCACCCACCCTTCTCCCGCCTTGTCCCATGAGAAAACCACAGGGTTCATCCACTGGAAGGGAAGGTCATGCTCAAAAGTCCCGGTCACATCTCACGAATTTTTAAAGAGGCTATTTTGGGTGTCAGTAAGTGTGGAAGATGGTACATGCCCTGCGCAAGGGGCCTCTGACCCCACCCACCCACCAGCAAGCACCAGCGCACTTCCCAGTGCCAGTCAGGGCTAGAAGGAACCCACAGCTGGAACACCGCAGTGGGAGAGAGGAGGGGCAGGGCGGGCTCCCTAGGCCCAGACACGCTGGCGCTCCAGGGACCAGGGAACTCGGGCTCCCCTGGTGGAGCCGGGCAAGGCAAGGTGCTGGCAAGAAGCTGGGGGACGGGGTGGGGGTACGGCCAGTGGGGCCCAGGTGGGTGGCAGGTGAGGGTGTGGCGGAGTCCAGGCGCTTTGGTTTCACATCAGGAAGAAAAAGCCCTGGTGATACCATATGAACGACTCCCGAAAAGGGAGGGACCTGAGCTAGGTTTCTCAGGCCTCAGGGGAGGGTGCCTGCCAGGTGACGGCTCCCAGAGAGAAACCCGAGAGGTGGCTTGGGGAGGCTGCTCTCCGCCCTTCCAGACACCCGGGAGAAGTGGCAGCTAGTCTGAGGCTGCCTTTTGCCTAGGTGCCCAGGGACTTGGACAGCCCCCAAGGGAAGGTACGAGGAAAAACAGGGTTTGAAAATAGCCTGGACGAGAGGACCTCGGGTGGCACAGGGGCTGAACTCGCCCCTCGCAGCATGAACCTGCGGGACCCGGGGTCTAGATGGGACCCTGTGGGTTGGGCTGGAGCGGGTGGAGAAGCTCTAGGCGTCCTCACCGCGCCGTACCTGGAGACCCGGAGTTCCGCCCGCTCCCCGCCGACCCGCCCCAGACGCAGCCGGACATGACCCCCGGGGCCCGGCCGCCCGGGTCGGGACGAGGCCGCCCGGTCCACCTTGTTCCCGAGCTCCGCGGAGGCCCGACCCGGGGCGTACACACTCACTGCGGTGCCGGCCGCCCGCCCAACTCTGCTTGGCCAGACTGGGGCTCCGGATCAGCGCGCGCCCCGCCGACTTGAGCGCGTCCATGGCCCGCTCCGGTCGCCACCACCGCCGCCAAAACTCCTCCAGGAAAACTTTCCGCCGGGCCAGGCGGCGCGCGCCCGCAGCGCTCCTCCCCCGCCCTCCCCGCGACGTCCGGGGGCGGGGCCAAGAGGCTACGCCCAAGGACACGCCCTGGCCACGCCCCAAGAGTGCGATCCCGCCCCTCCGCGCCCAGTACAAACTGGGTGACTGCTAGCAGTGCGTTCCAATGCGCTGTGGCCACCAAGGCTCCTAACTCAACTCCCTTCCCTGGTCCCAACCTACAGGATTCCACGGCCTTCTAGACAGCTCGGCTGAAAGGCACCTGGAGACCATTACACAGATGGGGAGAGTGAGGGCTAGAGCCATCAACGGTCTTGTTCAAAAATAAGAGAAAGAAAAGTAGTAGATGGGAAGGGGATGGGTCAGTCGATAAAGGCATTTGTGCCGAGCTTGATAATGCTCCCAAAGATCACACGGTGGAAGAACAGAACCAACCCAACTCTGCAAGTTGTCCTCTGACCTCCAAGGGCTGACAGTGGCACCCACGAGCCCTCCCCCATTGTATACATATGCAAAATAAATGTAAAGAATTAATTTAAATAAGTATGACAGAGGGGCTCACTAAAGCAATGGGGCTTCAAACAATAGGATGAAAGCTGTGAGTGAAACGAACAGAAGTGTATACCCTAGCCGCCTTTAGCAGCTTTCTTAGCTGTCCCCCTCCCCATAGTCTCTGGGACTTTGCAGTTTTAGCCTCTGACTCAGCCTTGCTGTGTGACCCCAGGCTGTCCTTCGTCTCTGGGTCATGTTATCTGTCAAATGAAGCCTGATCCTATCTCTAGAAAACCTACCCACCTGCCTCAGCAGACATTGTAAGCTTGCTCCAGCCCTTGTCTATTTCGAAGACAGCACACCTGCTCCACCTCCAGGAAGTTAGACTAACTCTGGAGCCAGATGTGATGGCTCATACCTGTAATTCCAGCCCTTAGGGAGCAGGAGCGGAGGCAGGAGGATTCCTGCAAGTTCCAAGGCATCCTGAGAAACAGAGAAAAAAACCTTGTCTCAAAATACAAAGAACTCTAGCCATAAAACCCTGAGCTTTGGGGCCAGGCTGTGCCCAAAGGAGTGAGTCCCAGGCAGAGGACATCCATGGCAGGGCTCACTATGTAGTTCTCAGAAGCTGTGCCTCTGCCATGCAGCTCTGACCTCTGCCTAGTTTCAGAAGTCCACAGGTCCATCCTGGCTGGAAGACAGATGGGCTGTGTCTCCTGTGTGCCTGGCTCACATTCCACTCTAAACCCTCCTGTCTGGTCCAACAGCTCATCTTGAGTGGACAGTGCAGCCAGCCACAGCCTATTACAGCAGGAAACACACCTGACATTACCCAAGAGTAAGAAACAGAAGCCCCAGTAAGAGCCCAGTGGTCATGGTCATGGTCTGGCTATTCTGGGCTTCATCTGTGAAGGAGGCAAAAAGACCTTTTCCACAGGGCTGTCCTGTGGGACTGGAATTAGAGACACTAAATCCTACCCTCAAGAACCCATCTGCTTCCTTCAGGAAGCCCTCCTGGACCACCGCTCCTGGGTTAGATTTCTCCCCATGGGCTCCCACAGCATTGAACTTGGAGCATTATAATGGTGTCCCTTTTACTACCCCTAAATTATAGGTCATGTTCTCAAGGGCACAAAGGTTTTTTTTTATTCGTTTCTGACACTGGGTACCTAAGGAACGTATAAGGAGAGTTGGAGGACTGTCAGCAGGATGGGACGCCCATTCCTCCTCCTCCCTTCTCTCCCTACTCCAGCTTTCTACCACAGCAGGTTATCTGTCCCCTCAGAAGGCTGTGGCAGTGGCTAGGGAGGTTGCAGAGCTGAGCCCCTAGTTTTCTTGTCCAGGGTCAGCTAGATCCTAAACCAGCAGAGAGATTTTGGGAGCCTGGAGGGAAAACATCCACCAGGGCCATGAGCCCAAGAGCAGGGGTGGTGTCTGGCTGGCAGGAGACATATGGACCAGGTAATCAGGCCAGCCTGGGAATCCTGTGTGGGCAGCAGAGACTGTTTAGCAGCTTCGTGTCCTTCCGGAGGTGACTTGCTGGGAGCTGTCAGCCATGCATCTCCTGCAGAGGGGCAGGCTGCTGGGGGCCCTTCTGCTGCTAACAGAGAGAGAAGTAGAGACAGACGGTCAGAGCTGTGAGGGGCCAGCCTCCACTGCAGTCACTGTGCCCAAAGCCTCATTTCACAGGTGAGGAGGCTAAGGCCCAGAGAAGAGCAGGAACTTGCAAGGTCACACAGCAGGCTAGGACCAGCCGCCAGTGCTGTCTGCCTCCCATCTGAGATACTGGGATGCTTAAAACTCCAAGACAAGGGCAGGGAAAGCATACTCAGTGCTCAAGACAGGCTTTAAGGTGTTTTTTTCTGTTTGGGGGTTTAATTGCTGTTGTTTGTTTTTAGATAGGGTCTCTCATGTAGCTTCTTACTGGCTTTCAATTCACTACCTAGCCTAATGAAGAAGACCTTAATCCTCCTGCCTCTGCCTCCCAAGTGGATTTATGGGGACATCGTCCTGTGCCCCCCACCCCACTCCCCCAACCCTCCCACCCCCCCCCACTCAGCAGGTGTATGTGATGTTGTGAGTTGAACCTGGAGCCTCATGCATGCTAGGACAAACATCTTACCAGTTACATCCCCAGCTCTCTCTGCCTTTGGGGGTCTTGTTTTGTTTTCATTTATATTTTGACAGGGTTTCTCTGTGTAGCTCTGGCTGTCCTGGAACTCACTTTGTAGACCAGACTCACCTTGAACTCAGAGATCCTCCTGCCTCTGCCTCCCAAGTGTTGGGTTTAAAAGCATGTGACACCATCCATGCCCAGCACTCTTGTTTTGTTTTGAATCATTTATTTTTCCCTTATCTGATTGAATTTTACAAATACTTTTACAATGACCTAAGTCCCTTAGTAGTAGCAAAATAAAAACCAATGAAGAGAAGGGGATGTCTCATGGGGAGTAGCCAGCTTCTGGCTTCCGTCAAACAGCTTTTTTGAGAGAGCAGGTTTCCGGTGGATGGGCCATTAGCATCTCTGTGAGTGACTGAGACCAAAGCAGCAGCCTAGCCTCTTCAATCCCCAGAACCCACGTAGTAGAAGGAAAGAATCACTTTTCAAAGTTTTCCTCTGACCTCCAGACCCACACCATGCTGTGCTCACACACACTGCCTCCCAGGAAAATGAATAAGTAAAATGTAATAACAGCTTTAATCTTCTTGCTTGCCTGAGTCAGCCCTCCACCTGTTGTTTCCCTCCTCACCTGGACAGAGCAGGTTAGCCTGGAGGAGGCCGGCATGAGCTTGGTTTTTGGCAAATGTTTAAATACTATGGGCCTCGGATTACTAAAAAGTGCCAAACTGAGCTAGATGGTAATGGCACACACCTGTAATCCCAGCATTCTGGAGGCAGAGGCAGGTGGATCTGTGAGTTTGAGGTCAGCCTGGTCTACAGAGTGAGCTCCAGGACAGCCAAGGCTACATAGTAAGAACCCATCTCAAACAAACAAACAAATGCCACTCTGTGGCTGTAGCCCTTGTGGTTGTGTTTCTCACGTGGGTTTCAGGGAAGGGAGTGCTCTGGAGACTGCAACCAGCCTGACATGATGTGAGGCCTGAGTAAGCTTGCTTCAATTCAGTTACCAGAGTCCTCCTGTTTGGGTGGAGACCAGCCACCACGAGGGAATTTGAGAGACTTGAAAACCAGTAATCTATGAGGAGCCTGTCTTTACACAGCTCTGGCCTTTAACCTACCTGATAACCTGCTCACCTGGCCCACACTCCCTGCTCACAGTGCTTCCTTTTCTAGAAACTTCCAGCTACTTCTGGCTTCCTCACCTATGCTAGAGCATCTAAATGGCTTCCTCTCCAACCTCAACCATAGCTACTTATACCACTCTTCTTTTTGCTTGTTTTCTTTTTGTTTTTCAAGACAAGGTTTTTCTGTGTAATGATTCTGGCTGTCCTGGAACTCACTCTGTAGACCAGGCTGACCTCAAACTCACAGAGATCCTCCTGCCTCTGCCTCCTGAGAGCTTGGATTAAAAGTGTGCACCACCATTGATGGACTATTCTTGCCCTAAAACATGCACACATGTGCACACACACACACACATGCTTGTATACATATATGCATACTGACAGCATCTCTTGGACCTTGGAGTTCTATGTGCCTGGTATCTTCAACCAAATCCTCCAATTATGTATGTATCACCTCAAACTAACAGTGCCTCAGTTTTCCTGTCAGCATAGTGGGCTCGAGGCCACCTTCAAGGGCTTTGTGAGGCTTCTGGGGCATGATGCAAGTGCCCAACCACCAGCTATGCTGGTTATCTTAAATTTGCATTGAGCCTGTCTATGGGCAGTTCCCAACAGGGGAGCAGGTCTCCAGCAGGGGACCAGAAGTCCTCATGCTCCCAGGGTCCCCTGGAGCCACCAGGAATGCCTGAAGGTGGCCACAAATCTAGCCAAGAACATCCTTTCTATTTTTCTATTCTCTGTTGTGTCTCTAAGGGGGGGGGGAGCTCTGAGGCTGGAGGAACGGCAGAGCCTGAGGGATCTGGAGATGTACTCTTGAGGAGCTCCACCCTGCCCACCCCACTGCTGTCCCCAGTGAACCCTGCAGCTGTCACCTCCCAGCGTGGGCAGCCCTGGGAGATCCAAGGCTGCAGAGCAACTGAGCTAATTAAGAACGACAAAGCACTGTGTAATCGCCAGCAACTGATGAGTGCCCGGCTTCTTCCTGTCCTCCTTCTCCGGCCCTCCCTGGAGGCCACACTGAGAAACTGAGCACTGACTGATGTCAGGAGATGGAAGGCTGGCCACCTCTGCCACCCCCTTGTAGGAGGACACTGAGCAAGTAGTTCCCTGATTGTCTTAAATTGCCTCCAACTCTCTCTCTCTCTCTCTCTCTCTCTCTCTCTCTCTCTCTCTCTCTCTCTCCCCACCCTGGGCCATCTACAGGGAGGGAGAAAAACAAGGTTCAGGGCCTCTAGAGACTCAGCAAGGCTTTGGGGCTTGGCCTCTCTCTCACCAACTGTCACCAGCTG